ATTGATACTGGGATTAACTTTGAACCATGTTATAAAGCGCTATACTTTTTTTCAGGCGTTAATTATTCACTATTTTATTAAGAAGAATATTATGAGAGCAATTTTTCTCATAGATTATATAAAGGTATAGATATCTATTATCGTAATTTCAGGATTAGTCAATATTTTTCTTGCTAAATAGGCTTAAAACGAGAGATTTTAAATAATAAATGCAATATAAAAATTATTAAGATATATTTATAATTAATTCTAAAATCTTAATCCTTTAAATTAATATTTAGAAATCTACACAATCTAGTTTCCAATATAATTTAAAATGTCACCGATAGAGATTGATATAAAAGATATTGGTGCAGATAATATATACAAAGTTATTTCTCTGTACAATGGTATGTAATTTCCTTCATGAGATATCGCATAAAATTTATTCTCGAAAAAAAAAACAAGGTATAAATATCATTGTATGATGTGCCAAGTAACTTTTATCCTAACTAGTAACTTCAAAGATTTAAGAATTTTATTATAAATTAAAATTACAAGAAATATATTAGCATCTCATTTTATCACTTAAAAATATTATGTACCTTACTACTCGTATATATAATAACCATTTTTTGTCCCTTATCTATGATACATCCTCACTGATGTTTTAATTTAACATGTTTAGGATATATATTTTTAGCTATTTCCTTTAAAATAATTGAGAAAAGTTCAAAAATAACGATTATGACAATTGTCACCTATCTATGATACATCCTCACTGAATTTTTAATTTAACATGTTTAGAATATATATTTTTAGCTATTTCCTTTAAAAAAATTTGAAAAAGTTCAAAAATAACGATTATGACAATTGTCACCTATCTATGATACATCCTCACTGAATTTTTAATTTAACATGTTTAGAATATATATTTTTAGCTATTTCCTTTAAAAAAATTTGAAAAAGTTCAAAAATAGCGATTATGACAATTGTCACCTATATATGATACTTCCTCACTGAATTTTTAATTTAACATGTTTAGAATATATATTTTTAGCTATTTCCTTTAAAAAAATTTAAAAAAATTCAAAAATAGCGATTATGACAATTGTCACCTATATATGATACATCATCACTGAATTTTTAATTTAACATGTTTAGAATATATATTTTTAGCTATTTCCTTTAAAAAAATTTGAAAAAATTCAAAAATAGCGATTATGACAATTGTCACCTATCTATGATACATCCTCACTGAATTTTTAATTTAACATGTTTAGAATATATATTTTTAGCTATTTCCTTTAAAAAAATTTGAAAAAGTTCAAAAATAGCGATTATGACAATTGTCACCTATATATGATACTTCCTCACTGAATTTTTAATTTAACATGTTTAGAATATATATTTTTAGCTATTTCCTTTAAAAAAATTTGAAAAAAATTCAAAAATAGCGATTATGACAATTGTCACCTATATATGATACATCATCACTGAATTTTTAATTTAACATGTTTAGAATATATATTTTTAGCTTTTAGATATTTCCTTTAAAAAAATTTGAAAAAATTCAAAAATAGCGATTATGACAATTGTCACCTATATATGATACATCCTCACTGAATTTTTAATTTAACATGTTTAGAATATATATTTTTAGCTATTTCCTTTAAAAAAATTGAAAAAAGTTCAAAAATAACGATTATGACAATTGTCACCTATCTATGATACATCCTCACTGAATTTTTAATTTAACATGTTTAGAATATATATTTTTAGCTATTTCCTTTAAAAAAATTTGAAAAAGTTCAAAAATAGCGATTATGACTATTGTCACCTATCTATGATACATCCTCACAAATTTTAAATTTAACATGTTTAGAATATATATTTTTAGCTATTTGCTTTAAAAATTTGAAAAAAGTTTAAAAATAACGATTATGACAATTGTCACCTATCTATGATACATCCTCACAAATTTTAAATTTATGTTTAGAATATATATTTTCATCTATTTCATTTAAAAAAGTTCAAAAATAACCATCATAACAAATGGCTCTTTTCTATGGTGCATCTTCACTTAAAAATTTTAAAAAATAACTATGATGAATAGTTAATCCAGAGCATTATAATTTAAAGAAGCTTTAAGTAACTTTCCCGCCTATAATATTAATATATACTAAATGTTATTTGACTTTTGGTCAAAAAAAATGATCTAGATATTGGGTTAAGGGTGAAAAAAAGCAACCCTAACTTTAAGTCGTCTTTAAAAAGAAAGATCCATATTTTGAGTCGGATTGAATAAAACGACCCGATGTTTGAGTCTGAGTCAGAAAAACGACCCAAACTTTGAGTTGGAGTCGAAAAATACGACCCAAACTTCAAGTTTGAGTCGAAAAATACGACCCAAACTTCAAGTTTTAGTCGAAAAATACGACCCAAACTTCAAGTTTTAGTCGAAAAATACGACCCAAACTTCAAGTTTTAGTCGAAAAATACGACCCAAACTTCAAGTTTTAGTCGAAAAATACGACCCAAACTTCAAGTTTTAGTCGAAAAATACGACCCAAACTTCAAGTTTGAGTCGAAAAATATGACCCAAACTTCAAGTTTAAGTCGAAAAATACGACCCAAATTTCAAATTTGAGTCGAAAAATACGACCCAAATTTTGAGTCGGAGTCGTAAAAAACGACCCATATTTTGGGTCGAGGTCGTTTTTTTCGGCTTGGACTTGGGTCGGAGTCGAAAAAAACGACCCATATTTTGGGTCGAAGTCGTTTATTTCGGCTTGAACTCGGGTCGAAGTCGAAAAAAACGACCCAAACATTGAGTCGGAGTCGAATAAAACGACCCGAGCTTTGGGTCGGGGTCGCGACTCGCGGCGTTTTAACAACACTAGTAGCATGTAAACTCTTTGATAAAATTATATGTAAATTGTTTGATTTTTTTAAAAAAAAAGAATATTGTGTTATGTTTTCGAGTTAAGTAGGTTTGGTATATAAATTGTTTGAGAAAGTTGTGTATATTTGTTTTTGAATTGAAAATGTGTTATAATAATAATAGTAATTATTATTTTTATTTGTGGTGAAAGGAAAAAGAATAAAGAAATTAGGGGTAGTGTCCATTTTAAATAATTTGTGTTGTAATTTTTTTTTTTTTAAATCAAGAGGTAAGAAAAAGGAAAATATTAAAAAAATAAATAAATAAATATATATATTCGGCCATGGAAACCTTCTACATAAAAACGAATCGAAATATGCTACGAATAAATTCATTAGAGATGGCCAATCCTTTATCAATGAAATGGCATGATGCCTGGATAGAACAGCAAACTGGAGAGGGAGCTCCATCGTTAATTTCGAATGGTCCTACGTCCTTACAAGGAAGAACCTCTCAACATGCAAATTTCATGACTGGTCCGGTGCATACGTCCTTGCAAGGAAGAACTTCTCAACATGCAAATTTCATGACTGGTCCGATGGCCATACAAGCGAGACAGACCGGAATGAGGGGAAATTTGAATTGTTTCAACTGTGGGGGGAGGGGGCACAAGGCCCGGGAGTGCGCTAGCGGATCGAGCAATTTGTGTACCTTTAATCAGGGAATCCGTTGGGCAGGAGGGCAGCCCCGAAGTGTGTTCGAGGAATCAAGATCGTTTGCAAGAGAAGCGGAGGAGTTTGCGGAAAGGCAAGAGTTATTCAAATTTCGGAGGGCTGCTGAGATCGAGAAAATGAAGGAAGTCTCAAATGAACGAAATTCGAATTTAGCTGCACAGTTAGAAAAAATGAAAGGAATTCCCCATGGAGGAAATTCGAATGTTGCGGTAAATAAAAGTGTTAATGCTAATGGGACTGAAGTTGAAATGAGTGATTCCTTAGAGGATTTACTCATTAATACTCAAGTGCCATGAGTGTTTTTTTTTGTTAATGATGTGAATTTTTTTTAATGATGTGAATTTTTTTTAATGATGTGAATTTTTATAAATTTAGTTATATGGATTAGCAATCATTTTTTTAGCATGTACCCTGGAGTTTATCCTTAGAAGGGGGTACATGTTGTAGTAAATAAATAAATATATTGATTTTTGTATTTTTTTAAAGAAATATATTGATTTTATTGGTATGTTTATATGTGAAAAGAAAGAAAAAATGAGGTCATTGATTTTTTTATATATATTTTTTTTTGGTAGTTCGCGATAAAAATATATGTAATTTTATATATTCGAGATACATGATATGTTTTTGGAATTGATTAATAAAGAAATTAAAAAATATTTTAATCGCCACAGTTTGATTTAAAGAAATAAAATTATAGTATCTAGAAATCAAATCGCTACAAAAATATAATTAAAAATGTTGATAAAATTAAATCATAAATTAAATAAAAAAAATTAAAGCACAATACAAACAATGGAATATTATATATCGTAGATTTACAGTATATTGAATTTTATCATATGACAATCAAGTAATTTTTACCTATATAGCGTATTATATATTTTACAGAAAACTATAAAATATTGATAAAGACCAGTGGCGTCGCTGGGGGGGGGGGAAGGCGCAGGGGCTCAAGCCCCCTGAAAAATTTGAATAGCCCCCTGAAGTAAAAAAAAAATTTTTTAAGTTTCCTTAATATCCCCTTGAACTAAAAATAATTTTTAATTACCCCAAGAACGATTTCTTTTATAATTCTATTAAGTAATATATTAATTTTATTATTTAAAAATTAATAAGACTATATAGATATTTATTAAATAATTACTATTTTAATTATTAGATTAGATTAATACGTATAAATTATATTTTTACTATGTCAGTTTGATCAAGTTCTATATTAAAAATGGAATATCAATACCATGCATAATGTTTAAACATCAATTTAGCATTAAAAATTCAAATTTAATTGATTTTAATTATTTTAAAACCCTAATTAAATAAATATAATTATTTATTAATTGATAATTATCAAATTTAATATTTTAATTATCCGAGTTCAAAATCACTATTTAAACTTTAAAATGCATGTGATAAATTCATCTATCAAAAAAATTTTAAAAAACAAAAGATGTGGTGAGTAATTTAATACAGTTTTTTAATTTCAAACTATACCTTAGATAATGAAAGACGATTAATTGTGGTTCTAAAAGATATAAATTGTGAAAAGAAAAAGGTTAAAAGAAAGACAGGTAAATTAATTAATATATAATATAAGATATTTTATTTATAAAATAATAAAAGATAAACCTGAGGGTCAATCTGTAGATATATGTGAGATCCAATGTATAGATATCTCAGGATTAATTTTTAAAAAATTAAATATCAAATTTTATATAGGCATGGAATCTGATAGCACTAATCCATATAAAGGTATGAGTTGTATTAGAACAAATTATTTGATGAAATACATTTTAAAATTAATCTTATTTAGATTGTTTGGTTAATGAAGAAAGAAGGCTTATTGATGAGAGGACTAATGTAGGGACAGTAGAAAAGAAAAAAATGGGTAAATTAATTTATATTTAATATAAAATATTTTATTTATATAATAGAAGTTAAACCTGTCGGTCAATCTGATAATATATGTGTGATCCACTGTATAGATATCTTAGGATGTATTAATTTTTTAAATATAATTAAATATAAAATTTTATATAGGCATGGAATCTGATAGCAGTAATCCATATATAGGTATGAGTTGTATTGGAACAAATTACTTTTGATGAAATACATTTTAAAATTAATCTTATTTAGATTGTTTGGTTAATGAAGAAAGAAGGCTTATTGATGAGAGGACTAATGTAGGGACAGTAGAAAAGAAAAAAATAGGTAAATTAATTTATATTTAATATAAGATATATTTATAAAATAATAAAAGCTTTACACATGGCTCAACTAAAAGTGACAACCATACAAGTATTTTTTCATTATAACAATATTTTTCTTCAAATATATAATATTTGCCATAATTTTCATAAAAAAAATATTATTTTAATTTATATATTAATATTTGTCACTTTTTTAGAAGAACTTATACAAATATTATTTTTATTTTAACAATATTTTTCTTCGAATATATATTTGTCATAATTTAAAAGCAATATTCTAATTCATATATTAATATTTTTACTTTTTCAGAAGAGTTTGATCTGGGTACTAAAACAACTGGACCTATGCAACCAATATTAGGTGCATATTTTTATACTGGATTGGGGAAAGATAAAAGATGTTTTCAACCTCAGTGGTACAAATCCTTTCCTTGGATAGAATAAATCATTACCAGAAACGCTATTTTTTGTTTTCCTTGTCGTAATTTTCCCACACAACCTCACAAAGGTTATCTCTTTGATATAGGTTATCAAAAATTTCGTAAGGTAAAAGAATTCTTAACAGCTCACGGAGCAACAAATGGTCATGCAACGATTATGATTCTCTGGAACCATTTTAAACTTTAATAGAAGGGACCATTAAAGAAAAATTTGTAACTCTAACTAAATCAGCAATAATAAAAATAAGAGAATATATTTGAAACGATTATTCAAAATTATAATACTATGTGGTAAGTTAGAACTTCCCCTTAGAGGACATCATGAAAGTAAGACAAGCAATAATCAAGGGAATTATTGTGAAATATTAAACTGTTTGAAAGAGTATGATTCATTTTTAATGGCATATAAGCCACCAAGCAATGCTCATTATTGCTCACCTCCATCACAAAATCAAATGCTATCTGCAGCGGAAAACATAATCTTATACATAGCTTCAGAAATAAGGGAGGCAGGTTATTTTGCTGTCATGGCTGATGACACTCGTGATGTGAAGCTCATATGAACAATTTAGTATATGTGTTAGATATGTTGATAAAACAAAAACACCAAATGAATCTTTTATATCTTTTGAAAAAGTTGTAGACTTAGATGCAGAATCATTAACAAAGACATTGATATCAACCTTAAATAACAATTCTATAAATGCGATTTGCGTTGCTCAAGCTTATGATGGTACCAGTGTTATGAAAGTGCATTTTTCAGGAGTCCAGGAAAGATATCGCAAAAATCACAAAATGGCTATATATGTGCACTGCTATGCACATAAACTCAATCTTGTATTGATCTCAGCATGCAAATATTTACCTCAGTCTAGAAAGTTTTTTAATGTATTAGAATCTATTCATGCTTTTTTCTCAATATCTATTATCCATCATAACAAATTTATTGATTTACAATTAAGATTAGGGCTAAAATCCAAAAATATTGATGCCTTGAGTTTTACACGTTGGGGATCCCATATTAGAACAATAGAGGCAGTAAAAAACATTTTCCTGCGATTATTTCTTATCTAGAAAATATAGAGCATGGTGATATGGTGAAAGCAAATAGAATTTTATATATTCTTTTACAATATGATACAATTATGTGTATGTTTATATTCCAAAAATTATTATCTATGTGTTCCAATATTTCTATTTTTTTACAAAAATCAGATTCTGGCATATCAACAGCATTGGCTCTTATCGAGTCTCTTATCGAGTCTCTTATCTTTTCTTTGTCAAATTTAAGAAATAATTCTTATTTTTCTTCATTATTTACCGAAGTAAATAAATTCTGCAATTTATATAATATAAAAATAACAAATAAAAGAACAAATATACCTTCTATCATTTTAAATGATTCTATTCAAATAGATGATATTGTTTCTCCTAATTATTCTGATCAAACAGAAACTTTTTATAAGTGTCATGTCTTTTATCCAATTTTGGATATTATGATAAATGAATTAAAAAAGAGATTTTGTCAATAAAACGCAGATATATTAATAGCTATAAGTGCTTTACATCCCTCCTCCCCCCAATTTTTAAATAATGATATCATTAAACCATTTATCCTACATTATAATCTTCCTGATCCAATGGAAGAATACGCAATATTAAAGATTTATATTTTAACCTATAATAAAACACATGAACCTATGTGCAAATCGATAATAGATTTGATAAAAATCGTACCCATCGATATATTCCCTCGTATATATAATTGCCTTAAAATTGCGCTAACTATACCTTTTAATTCCTGTTCATGTGAAAGATCGTTTTCAGCTTTAAAACTGGTGAAAACATTTATTCGATCTACAATGGGTCAGTAACGATTAAATTCGTTGGCTCTATTGAGAATTGAAAAAAATGTTATTAATAACATTCCTATAGATTACATTATAAATGAATATGCAACAATGATTAACCGTCGAAGAGAATTTATTTTATCAGATAATTTAACCTTATTATTTATATTATGAAACGTAATGCGAGTAAATATATCGTTTAATATTTATTTTATAAATTTTTTTATCATTTCTAAAATTAGCTTAAAGATATGGCAATAAAAAATTTCTTTTTGAGATATATATTGACAATACAATAATTTATAAGATCTTAATTGCTTTCATCATATCACTCTTATTTTTTAGCTACTATATAATTCATTTCTAATTTGGCATCCTTACCATGTAAATAACTCAAAGCTTCAATATATTTGCTTAATTTCTTCTAAAGATTTTTAGTGTTTTTGTTTTATAATTTATCTAACATTATAAATTCTGATATGAGTTAACATCGTGAGTGTCATGGCTATGACTGCAAATTAACCAGCATCTATAATTTGTGTGGCTATGTAATTTAAGATTATTACTACAGCTGCTGAGTGCATATGATTGCATATTTTAGATATGCAATAATGGTCAACTGTATAGTCGTTTATATATCATTAAAAATGGAAGATAATTTTTTAGAAATTTAATATCTCACATTAATTTTCTCGATTACTTATCTAGCTTCCAACATGTCATCTAAAAAAAAGCTTTAACTACCATAAAGTTTTATAATTTGGATTGGTCATTTATATTCTCTTCTTCAACTATTGTTAATTTGGTAAGGCCTATAAATTTTTTCTTATTAGTGCATTCTATAAAACATTGTCTAAAATGGTAACAGAGAGTTATATTAGTTTCATGACCTTTTGTCAATGTAAGTTTTAAGAATTATATAGCCTTATGTGGTTTTTAAAAACCATTATCGGCATATATATTAATCAACCTTTTTTATCAATTGTAATTCTTTAGAGGCCAAATTTTTTATATCAGCGAAAATATTTTATACTGTAATAAATAGATTTTGTATTAAAAAAATATTATTTTTAGAAATGTCTTGTATTATTTTATTTATATGCGTTTATTTTGTAGGCATAATATAATAAATGACAAAATACAAAATTCAGAAGTAATTTTCAGAGTTAGCTAATTTTAAAAAAGTATAATATAGTAATATGAAACCCGGCCGAACGCCCGGCAAGCGGGCCGAAGGCCCGCAAATTGGGAAGTATGAGGGGCTTCGCCCTCCATAAAAAATTTTTTAGTTGAGCCCCCTGAGATTGTAAACTGTAAAGGCTAGCGACGCCCCTGATAAGGACATCAGAAAATATCTTTTAAAGACATTGTGGGATGAATAATATGAAGATTAATTTTTAATATTATTTTTTATTTAAAATAAATAGATGGCGTTAAATAATAATTGTTGTTATATTTATTATCAAGAGCATTGATTAGTTAAATTTGTTAAAATATTAACTGTAATATATTCTATAACTGTCAAATTTGTCTGTAAAAGTGGAATTTTACCTAATATTTTGTAACTAATTTTATAAAATAGAGTAATATCAACTATATGTTTACTTACTTTTTATAAATAAATTTCTTATACTTGTTTGGAATATATTATCATGCTTTTATATTAATGTATATACAAGTAATTTATTATTATATTTTATATAAAAAATAAAAATATATTTCATATTTGTTCCAGGCTTATTTTTTTTTATTAAAATTAACCTCCTATCTTGTAAAAATATTTTATGACTATATATTGACTAAGGTAACCCGGGCAAAAGCGGGCCAAAAGCCCACCCAAAATGGGGTCTGGAGGCGAAGCCTTCGGTAATTTTTTAATTCCCCCCCCCCCTTAGGAAAATTCTGACTACGATTATGTATGATAATAATAAAAACCAGTTTAACGGGAAATAAAAAGCGCTTAAAAGAAAATACCAGAATTAGTTGGAATTAAATATTCTCTAGAAGAGAATTCTAGTGGCGAAAAAATTGCTAGAAAAAACATTTATTTCGATTATATTTGACATTAAGGAGGTTTAATATGAACTTAATCCCTATACTTAAATCAGATACAGAATTTAATTTCACATTAAAATAGGTGCCACGACTTGAGTTGCCTTTTTTTAAAAAAACTAGTTAAAAAACAAAATTAGCACTAAAAAATAAATCTAAATTAAAGTTTATATTAAAAATAGTAAATATATATAAAGAAATAAAAGTTAAATAACATCTACAGTAGGGGCTCGCAATTAATTTTTTTAAAAACTAGTCATAGGGGGCACGCTAAAATGGGTAAATAATAGAGACAAATTTATATTATTCCATGGCAATTTTTTTTTGAAAAATTTATATTTATCATTTTAATAGTATTAAAGAGTAAATTAAAAATAACGGCGATATTATTAATAACAACCCTATTAGGGGTGTATCGATACCACATTTTGGAGGCCGATCCGATATTAAATATCGGCCGATTACCGATCCGATATCATATCTAATTATGTATTCTGTAAAAATACCAATGGTTTTAATTTATAATATACTTTTTATTAGTATAACATCACTATACCATAACATATGTCATTTAAATATATTATAATTATCAGTTATGGTTTATATTCAATTTAATTGCTATTCTAAAAGAATATAAAATATTTTTATTGATAAATCACTTATTTATATAATTAGTAATAACATTAATCTATTTACATAATAAGTAATAAACAAATATACTATGAAATTTGAAATAAATATTTAAAATTAATATATCGAAGATTTCTTTTTAATTTATCAAAGGTCAGTCTGCGATGATGGGGACTGTCAATATCACTAGCTTTACTAAAAACAGATTCTGAAGAGATTATTGCATACTTTTATAAACAAAATGCGAAAAAAAATAACAATATGACAGAATGTTTATTAACTAATTATTACAATTAAAAAAAATTAAACATAAAAAATGGATTTCGATTTTATTTATAAAAATAATTGGTTTTTTAGATATAACTTTTTTTTAAAATTTTTTATTTTATTTTTGTTAAAAAAAGCCATTTTTTTATAGGATTGGATCTGAAAATTTTATAATATTTGCCGATAACCGATATTTTAAAATGGGTGAAATATCGGCCCTATCCAATCTGATATAATATATCGGTACATCCCTAAACCCTATCTAGAAACTTTGGAGTTCTAACAAATATAAACTTATGATCTAACTAAATTTAGAATTTAGAGATATATATTTACCTAAAATTTATTTACATTTATAGATTAAATTGAAACTAAATAAAATTATTAATTATAAGGATAAAAAATCCTAATAGTAATACATTAAGTTATACTAATTCCTTATTTAAAATTTATAAGGGCTGAAGTTATAAATAGGATAGGGGTTAAAGTTTTGAGATCGAAATAGATATTGTTACAATAACTTAAAGAAGTGGGTCTAAAATATAAAATTTGAATAAACAAATAAGAGATCTCCTGTCTCTAACATTTAGTTTTTTCAGCGCACGTGGGTATCTTTTCACTCTAATTAATTAAAGTCTTTTTAAAATATTTTTAAAAACCTATTTGGGTAATTTACATTCTTTTCTATATTAATTCCCCAAATAAGTTTTTCTATTAAGACAATTAGATTACCTTTTAATTTTATACCTACTATACTAATTGTTACCGTCACTTCTTTCTAAAAAAATAAAATAAAAAAATTATTATAAATTTAAGATAAAGTTTTATAAGGTAAATGAATATTTTTTACTTATTGTTGGTATGTAATCTATTTTGAATTAAATAGACAAATGAATTATAAATTCATTGAATAAGGTTCTCTAA